ATCTACGTCGGGATCCGCTGCGGCGTCTCAGTATACCGCGAGCTGTAGCTCGCGGTATACTGAGCTTAGGGTAACGGGAGGACGCTAGTTTGTGTCCTCCCGTTACCCTAAGGAGAACTATGGGGAAAAACACTGACCCCATAGTTCTCCTTTAATCATTGTGACTGTCTGGCAGCAAGTGACCAAAACGTACATTTTTCTTTCTTTTCATTGCATACATAGTAAATTGGCACCCACTTCAGCAGTGCTGCATATATGCTGCACATATTGGCACCTGTATGAGAATAGCAGTGGTGCCTAATAATAATAATTAAAGGAGAACTCTGGACAAATCAAATCATAACCCCTGCAATGGTGCTACTCCCGCACTGCAAGGGTTAAGTACTAGTTTTGACTAGGGAGCTAAAATAACCAAGTAATATTCACCCAAACCATGATACCAGCTTGCACGTAGACTGTTCCCTTCAGCCTCACTCCTCCTCCTCTCCAGTGGTCTACGGTCCCGTGAGTCTTCACGTCCAATAAAGTGTATTGGACATGATGATGGCGCGGGATAGTGTGTATGGGCTCTCTGGCTTTTATTCCCTTTAGCTTCATCTGTAGATAACAGACCTTCCTTCCCTTCATGTCTGTACTAATTTTATGGCAAGACAGGAGGCTTCATATTTTGCATATCTCTCTTTACTGATTCCTCATAACAGCAAAGAAACATAACAGAAACAGAAATAACCAATAGCAGCACACAGCATATTATATAAGTCCGCCCACACCAAGATCCCTCCTCTTTCTTTGCTGTTAGCCTCATGGCAGGTCAGTACTCCTACATCTCGCTCCTGTATTGCTGTTTTCTTCCTGTTGTAATTGGCTCTAATAGCCACCATACTACTGTGCTTTCTTGCACTGTTCCTCTCTCCCCGACCCCCCCCAGGGTCTTCTCAATCCAAGTCCTACCTCTCCCCACAGCCTTCTGCTGACTCTTTTTCCTTGTCTGGAGCCGCCGTGCGGGCTTTAGCTCCGCCGCCATTTTCTTGTAGATCGTTCTGCTGGCCATGGCGGCCATTTTGTTGTAGCCGCGGCACGGTTTTCTCGTTAACTCCGCCCCTTCCAGGACGAATTTGCATTAACCCCGCCCCCGTCGCCATTTTTCTTGTGGTTTTTTCACCTTCTTTCTCAGTGCAGCGACCATTTTCTTGGAGCCAAGTTATTTCCTACACAGCCTTCCGAATTCATCTGCATCCTTGGATCTGGGTGAGCCCCACTGTTGTTCTATGTGTCTGTGCCTTCTCTGTTTGTGGGTGAGCCCCACCTCTGCCTCCTCTATTTATTACTAATTGTACCTGTGCCTTTTATGTGCTGGATGAGCCCCAGCTTTCATTAGTGTGCCTTCTAATTAGTGGATGAGCCCCACTTCTGTTGCACTGTGATCCCACCTGTATTCTATTAAGGTGCTGTATATATTTATATCTTGTCATGTCTGACCCCACTGTTACGCCGGCCATTGGAGAGGCTTTTGGCTATGGCCTTGCTTCTATAATTACCTACAAAACCCTGAGGCACGTACCGTCCATTCTTATGCAGAGTCAGATGACACTTTTTATTTCCCAAGTATATGGGGACTCTCGCAGAGTGGGTAAGCACCCTGGAAAGGGTCCAGTAAATCAGCAAACAAAGGCAAGGGCCTTGCTAAACGAGCTACACGCTCCTCAGTCCTTGCTTCGGCGGGACGGTTATCTCATGCTTCACCCTCGGGGAAGCCCATCATCCCTCCTCTCAGGAGGCCTTGGAAACCCAATTGCCATTGGGTAGTGACGCGGGTGAGCCCCGCAGTGTTACACTTGCCCTTACCCAGCAGTGTTCGGACCTGGTGGATGCCGATTCGGTGCTTGACCCTACTGGGGAAGCACTTTTTGATCCCAGATTCATTCACCATCCCAGGTCATCGGAATGGACCCTTCCAAACCATATTGCCAGATACCTACAGGTCTGGCTACGTAAGCCCTTAGACAATGGGGTC